TAGTTTTACTAAGCTCCTGGAAAATAATTCCGAGTAGAAATTTTGACAGGGGCCTGGCCGGGTCCAGACCTGGGTGAAACAAGGAACCCGGCCGGCGCCATGGCGCAAAGCCTGATTTGACGAGCTGCCAGGTCGGGTCCTGGTTTCATGCGGGGTCAGGGCCCTCACTGCAAAAACAAGTGTCTCATTTTGAGACGTTTTATCCCATATTTGAAACACATAAGATATCTTAGTCCACATATTTGAAACAGATATGTGTTTCATTTTAAGACGTTTCAAAGTGTCTTACACATTTAGCAATGCATTTTGAGACACGAAATGTGTTTCGAGTATCCGTCTCACACTAAGAAGACGTTTTACGTGTCTTATACGCATTGAGTTACCTTTAATGTCTTAAAATGAGACACGAGATGAAATTAAATGTCTCAATATAAAACAGATTTTGTATCTCAATGGTTTAAACACTTAAAGCAACTCATTTTAAGACACGAGTGAGATACCAGTTTTTGCAGTGCTGTTAGGGCAATTTCTGCACGGGATTTAAAAACTTGCCAAAAACAATACTAATAGTGGTTACCTCCACGTGGTGCTTCTCGGAAAAAAAGCTAATAAATGGTTTTTTATAAGCTCCAAGTGTGAAATTCCAAGACTGCAAAACGGGCCCGTCAATCACTGAAAAAATTACATTCTAATTTTAAGAAAAACTTCTTAAATATGCGCCAAGAATATTTCCCACTTAAATTAAGTGGGAAACATTCTTACAATACTAATTTTCTTCTTATTGTAAGAATATTTCCCACATAATCTAAGTGGGGGAATATTCTTGGCGCATATTTAAGAAGATTTTCTTAAACTTAGAATGTAATTTTTTCAGTGAATGTCTGCAGAAAACTGGCAAAAATTACTTGGGCCTATATACTAGCATACAAAACGTCTCATTGCTGGTAACGGGACTTAGCACGGACCAATAGTGGTACATTATTGTCAGATTATTAGGATAAACTTTTCTATCTATGATGGCAAGTTGTAATTGAAAGTATTGGATAAAACTGAATTCTGGGATTTTTGGGAAATCCGTGACAAAAAAATAAAAATCACTACTTTCCTCGCCTTGAATCCTTTTGCAATTTTTTTAAATGGCTTCTGATTATTAAGAGAAAAAAATGCTTGCGAGGCGAGGAAACAATAATTTAGTTGAATTTCCAGGAATTTCGGGAAATCCGTGATCCTTTCGTAATTTTTTTAAAGGGCTGTTAATATTAAAATAAGCAATTAGCTAAAGTAAAAATTTTCGTCGAATAAACGTTGGTAATTTCAGTTTCAGAATATTGGGACGTTGCTCGGCTCAGTAATGGCACATTAATAGCAAAAATTTTGTATCTGCTATGATGGCAAAATACAATTGCCAATATTGGGACGTACCTCGCCATAATAATATCACAATATCGATAAATAGTGTAGCTTATAAAACCATTAAGCTTTCTTGACTTAACGTCAGAGTAGCAAAGTGAAATAAAAGACGTATAAATATGATAAATTAATTAGTTAATTAATAAAAAATGTAATAATTTATATTAGTTTTTGTATTTTGCTAATTCTGGGTAAGTAATGTCAGTCAATATTGGGCCATTAACGTCTGCCGACGTCCAACCGTAATTAACACCACAAGAGTCGTCCCAATAATATCGCCCAAGACTAGGTGACAACTTTGCCAGTACTGGGCCGTTATTAAGCCATGATGGTTTTCACACTTAGAGCGATTTTAAAAATTCTAAACATTATCTTTTTACTTTCCTTAAAATTTCGTTTTCTTCTTCATTAATTAATATTAATAATCATCAAGAAAATTAGTTTAAATGTAGTTGGTTAAATACTAATCAATACTCAATATGGAAAACTTTAAAAATACTAAGAAACACGTCGAAGACGGGTATCGTAGCTATTAATATATAGGTAGGAATAACAATAACTAATAACCCGTCGAAGACGGGTATCGCAGCTAGTTTATTATATTTATACGGCCTCTTTCCTTATATTATAAGTAATCTTACAAACATTTGAAAAATTCTTATCACTCAAAGGGATCTATACCTCAATCTAAAGCTCCGAAACCTAACACTCTGACCACTCTGATACGCTATGATTTTAAAATTAGCCAACATTTATGTTTTTTTTGTAAATGACGAAGTTCATACTAATTGTCAATTGTAACCTATATTCATTAACGTCAAAAGTAAAGAAACCGCAATGTCTTCAGGTAATTTAATATTATCCTTTATATTTTTATTATATTTAAAAATACTTTTTTTTCTTGATTAGTATTTACTGTTGCCATGTTACTTATATGAAATAACTAAACAAGGAGCAGAAAATGTTAAAGTTAATTTTTATAAATGATAAATAATGAAATTTATAATATTAATAAAAAATAGTATAATTTGAATTTTGTTTATTTCTTGTTTAATATTTCACAAGTCAGGTCGTTTGTAACTCGTGATATAGCATACCCGAAAGTTGCGGTTTTCCGTCTAACTTTTGAAGCAATTTATAAATATTAATTACATTGATATTTTCTGATTTATTGAATAATTATGAGTAAAATGATATAAACAATGCATGAGTGCTCACAAATTAAAAAATTTTCCCTTTTTTTGTCGAAGTGAGCATGTTTTTTAGATTTGCCCAAATAATTGCTGTTACAATCAACCCGCGAGCACCAAGACAAGTTATAAAAGATGATTTTTTAGCAAAACGTCTTTCTATGGATATGTATCATACTTTTTAATGTTTTTTATTCTAATTTATTACGGGGAAAGTTGATTTATTGATAATAGTAAATAATATAAATAGTATTAATAGTAACAATATTTTTTTAAATAAATAAATAAAAAATATTTGTATCACTTTTTTTGATTTCATAGTCCGCTTAAATATATTGAAAATAATTTTTAAAAAAACAATATATTTTTACCATTCCCGGCGCCGTTATTGAAAGGCAGTACACAATTCAGTATGCCATATTCAAATTATTGAAAAATCAAAATTATAAAGTATGAATTTTACTCTACCTCACACATAAAACCTATTAGGCTCATTTTTGTTGCAGCTCAAAATGAACCGCAACGTTAAATGGCATAAAACGTGGCACTATATGAGGTTTTTTTGTTGTGTTTCAAATCAAATCTCAAATATATATTAGAGACAACTTATTTTAAACCCAGGTTATATCAATGTTTACATTCGCCAAGTTTAAAATTAAATTTTAATTATTAAATATCAGTTATTTTTTCTCTTAAATAAATAATTCCATGCTTTTAAGAGAAAGTTTGTTTATTTAATTTAGTTTATTGGGTCTGATTGGAACCATTTAAAATTTTCAACACGCAGAATACGAAAAGTTTTGTTTTTAGTTTAAAAAAATTCCATGCAAGAAATGAAATACCAGTTGAAATAAAATACAATATGTTTATTTTCAAAAATTACGTCAAATTTTATTCTATGCATTAGAATCAGGCACAAAATTGTCAACAAAAGTAAAAAGAATAAAAAATTAAATTTATAGGAATTTATAATCAGAAATTCTTCTTTAGTGTATATAATGCAATCATTCGAATAATTTCTTAAATCAATTTCAAACCAATTTCAGAATTTCAATAGTATTATATAGCATGAAAAAAGTCTTAAGGGATATAAGAAAATTTATGAAAGGAATGTAATGAATTAGAAAAATTATGTAAAAAATTCAAATGATTAGCCTGCTTAAAATATTTGCACTCAAATAAAATTTAATTTATTGTAATTTTAAATATTAAAATTTTCATTAGTAGTGTACTGAGTACTGAGTACACTTCTTATGAGTTTCATTTCAATTAGAGGGGTAAAACACATAAATAATTCAAATTGTTTATAAAATTGTTATTAAAAATATGGAATTTTTAAATTTACAATCATGCAAACATTTTTTTTTTAAAGTGAACAATTTTGTGTAATCAGTGTAAGTTTCATTAATTTATTGTAATCGGCTTTTGAGTTATAATTTTTTTAAATGTTGTAATATTTTGTTAATGCAAAAAATAACAAAAATTTAAAATGTCAAAAAACGGTTAAAATTTTTTTTTGTTTTGTAATATATTATTTTTTAATTTATATATATAATTCAATAATTTGGCTATACTTTAAAAAAATAAAAAAATGTTTATCTTTTTTTGTTCAGAATCAATAAAAAATTGTTACTCGAACTTAAAGTGTGTACTAAAATTTAATTTAATTTATCGATGGAATCGCCGATATATAAATATAAGAATTAAATTGAAATCTGTTGATTTTACAACGCATTAGCGAAACTTTTCAAAAATTCACGGATATTTTTGTAAATTCCCTGCAAATCTCCAAATTTCCCGGTCGCTAGACACCCTACAAATCGAATTTCCCGAATTAAAAATTTTTGTATGTAAAAAAATCCATAATTATTATAGTGACCCGTAAACCTTTCTCCCGATATATTTTACTCAAAACTAAAAAAAAAAATGAAAGCAGAAGTTAACATAAAAGAATAAAGTTACCATTCAAATCAACAGAAACTTTCATATCATTTTTGTAATTTTTGACATGATGGGTAAGAAAGCGCAGTAGTAATCGGTAATTTATAGTTTGTAAATGTAAATATTTACAAATAATTTTATAATTAAATGTTTACTATAATTTATATGATTTTCTATGTCAAATGAATTATTACTAATAAAAAGTTGCTTTTTTATTTTCGGAAACAGGATTTCAGCAATATGAAAATTCAAAATTTTAAACATTCAGAAAAAGACTGGAAAAATAAATTTCTATATATATAGGTCTACGGCAGAAAATTATATTTCTCAATTCAATATATTTTTTTTGAATAAAAGTGCGTTTGTCATAAATAAAACATCCTCTAATATCCAAAATCCATTTCTCTAAATACTCTCCTTCAATAAACTTTTTTAAAAAACAAAATTAAAATTTTTTACCAAAGTTCTTGAATTGAATTTTATACAAATATATTTTAGTTTCCCCTTTCCTCGGGGACAATTGTCACTAATTCATCTTCCTCGTAGTTTATTATAAATAACTTCTATTATTATAGGTATGTATGAAGATGAAATAAAGATCCTAAAATAACTCTCTTGGTTAAAAATCACTATTTAAAGCACATTTGACTTTCTTTTTGCAAATCACAACACACGATATTCACCCACAGAAAAAAGTGCACTGTTAATCCAAAATCACGAATACGATCCCGTTTGTTCATGGGGGGGTCTATCAATCGAAAAGTGATTTGCGGTCTGGACTAGTTAACGCCTCGCTAGACTCTGCAATAGTGATGTCTTTTTTGCAACGAGAGAGGGTGTTGGAGAGTAACGAGTGTGAGTAAAGGGGTGGGGTGTGGAGGTGGTTGGGGGTGAAATGTCGCGCGTGATGCGTGAAACAGTTTGAGGGGGTGGGGGAATGGAAAACAGTAGTTGTTGGAGCTGCGCGCCGGGTGTGCAATCGAGAGAAGCAACTCGGCCCGAATGTTTATCGGGTCAAAAAGTGTGGAAGCGTCGTTGGGTTGAACGTGCGCGACGCTCAGCGTCGGTTCTGACGTCATTGCAGTAGGTGTGGCCATTTAGGCCCTTCCCAATTCACTCGGGATTGGACAGCGTCGAATGCAGTCGCCATTGGTCCATACCTACTGCCCAGTAACCTTTTTCTCTCTATTCTCCACTATTCCCGTCTGTGCTGCGTGTGTGATACCTTTTATGCCTATAGCGCGAAACCAGCTTTTACAGAGAGACCATTCATTTGGCCAAGTGATTATTATAATTTCTCGTCCATCTCGTACCCATTACTCCCATTTTTATTCACTCATCCTTTTTTGCCCTTGCGATTTCAATTTTAAAAGTGTCACAAGTCTCGCGGGTTGAGAGAACATTATAAAACACGGGAAATTAAGATACAAAGATTATTAAAGGGTTTTTTTCTCTTTATCTCTTAGATGGCGAAATTTCAGATATACAGTTGGAAAGTGGAATTTCAAATTACAATTTTGTACTTATATAATATTCGAGAAAATTTTTATAATTATTAGGTATATAATAACCCAAAAAGCACAATTGAGCTCAGAATATTGTGGTAACTTTTCCTATATTATAATGTTAATTTTATACATTAAAATATTACCTAATATAATAATTTTCAAAAAATATACTATCATTCAAATATCTTAAACTACTTTGACGTTCCTTCAAAATTATACATTTTATAATAATGATGGATATACCCAATGGGAAATTTACAACTGGCGTAGTACTGCGCCAGCACTGGCAGCACTGGCGGCAAGGCTGAGAGCCAGCACTGGCATGGCACTGGGATGATAACGCCGTCTGGCGCTGCCGAAGTACTGTCTGTCAGTGCTGCCAGACAGCGCTGGCGCAGCACTGGACCAGTGCTGGCTGAGAATATTGCCGCAATAAATGCCGTATTGCTATTAATTAGTCGTAAATTCATAATTATAAATAATTTAACAACAAAATGGTAAATAATATTAATAAATAGTTATTATTCATAAAATATTTCTCTTCTTAAAGAAATTGTATTGAAGATGGAGACTAACAATGGATATAGTAAATGAAGTAGAAAAAAATTGTTTATAACATTTAAAAATTAAATAATAAACAATTACAGTAAGTGTGCATTAGATTTTCATACGTTAGAACCTAACGATTGGAATCTAGAAATATCGCAAACCTATGAAAATAAACAAAATTGCTGACGAGGGGAATCGAACCTACGACCTACGGACTAACAGACTAACGCTCTAACCACTAAGCTAACGACACATGTGTACTGTAAAGTATTAACATCTCAGTATCATTCAGACATACAATTATTGAGTCAAAGATGAGAAAAAAATAGGGATACGTTAGAAATAATAAATTGAAATAAAATAAATTAAACTAAATTTTTTATAATTAAATTAAGTAATTTTACCTTATTTATTGCATTTAACATTTTACGTAATTCTTAAATTACGTGGTAATTTTTTAATAATTTGTTATTCATAGTAAGAAGTATAATAGTATTTTAATAGGAACCAAATTATTATTGAGATTAAAGTTTAAATTTTGTTTATAATTTTAATTTGTTTAAATAATTTATTATTTACAAAATTAGACAATTGTGTTAAATTGTTATTATTAAATTTAATAAGAATAAAAAATGAACAACTGAAAAGTAAAATATTAATTTTTTTCAATAAATTTATATTTATAAACATTTATAAACTTTTTTAATAATTTTTTTCAAGTTTATGTCAAAAAAGCAGTGTTGGCAAAGAGCGTTGTGAACAATTTTTCTATACTCAGCTAGCACTTGCCGCCGTGGCTTGTCCAAGCTTTGGCGAAACAAAAATTCTGTACTGCGCCAGCACTAATTGTCGAGGCTCGGCTAGACTACGCCGAACAATCGTCTGAGTACTAAGCCAGTGGTGAACATCGGCACTACACTGGCATTTCCCATTGGGTAGTTAAAAATATTTTTATAATCTTTTTTGTACAACATGTCTTTTGAATGACTGTAAATCCTAAATGGTATTATTATAAAACTTTGTCTCGTTAACTATAACTTTTTAGATACAAGATTTTTTCATATTACTAAGGAAAATAAAATTTAGGCGACTTTGGAAAAACATCTGAAATTTTGACTTTTAAAAAAGTGTCCCCAAGGTGGACAGCATTCAGAAATTCACTAAAAATATGTTTAAAAAAGTTGAAAAACACAATCTATAAGGTAAACGTCCCTATTATGGAACACTTCAAAATTTCGTTCCTATTATGGAACAGTATTACAAAAATTAAAATAAATGCAATTAAAAGTGGTGATAAGAAATTTCTACTTATTTCAGAAAATTGTATACGTGTTATAAGAATGATTATTTCTGTATAGTATTTAGTTTAATAAGAAATGTTTAAATTGCATTTTAACTTTGAATTTAAGGTAAGCCATAATTTTTGTCAGACGACTGTTCCATATTAGGCACACTTGTTATTTGCATGTCCCTATTTATGGAACACACAAGAAATATACAGCAAACATAACCTCAAATCTTTTCAGTATTTTCGCATTAATTTTCTACCTGAAGAATTGGTTTTATAATTATCTATTAAATTAGAATTTGTTAATTGTATTTTATTCTGTATAATTAATATTCAAATTATTGAGATAAGTCAATAGAATTCTAAATACTTATTAAATTAAATAAGTGTTCCATTAAATAGGGGCATTCAATATGGAACACCCGTACATATACAGGAAATCATCGTTCCATAATGGGTGCAGTGTAGAGTTTCAAAATTTAGGGGAGTTTGCTGCGAGTTGGACATACCCAACGGGAAGTTGCCAATGTTAACGATTAGTTCAATAATGGGCCATGCTTGGCGAACTCCGTTCCATTATTGGAACATTAATGGCAACCATCATTGGACCACCAATGGTTTAAACTTGGGATGATCACGCTACTGCCAATGATCGGTAGCCAAGCATCGGGCCAATATTAGTTGCCAAGGAATTGCCAAGGAAACAAAATCGATTTTCAAAAGCTTGATTTTTTATTGGCAGCCAACAAAAATCCAAGGTTTTAAAAATTGGTTTTTTTTAATTATTAATTAAAATTTATTTTTAAAAAATATATTTTTCAAAAATTTATTTTTTAAAAATATATATTTTTTTAAATTAATAGAACATATTAATTTAATTTGTCACCTCTGGTAAAACAAAGATGAAAGACTGATAAATTCCCTCACTTTATATCTTACAGTGGAGGGATAACTGTGAATGTCTTTGCGAGAGAGGAGCAGGTACTTATATAGAGCCAGTGAAACAGGTCACAAGCGAGAAGAAATCACTAGCATGCACTCTGGCGGCGCTTGTCGGAACTGTTTTCTGGCGCGCATGCATATCCTGACATTATCGACACAGCGCTTGGCCACCAACGTTGCGCCACTTCCGACAAGCGCCGCCAGAGTGCATGCTAGTGATTTTTTCTCGCTTGTGACCTGTTTCACTGGCTCTATATAAGTACCTGCTCCTCTCTCGCAAAGACATTCACAGTTATCCCTCCACTGTAAGATATAAAGTGAGGGAATTTATCAGTCTTTCATCTTTGTTTTACCAGAGGTGACAAATTAAATTAATATGTTCTATTAATTTAAAAAAATATATATTTTTAAAAAATAAATTTTTGAAAAATATATTTTTTAAAAATAAATTTTAATTAATAATTAAAAAAAACCAATTTTTAAAACCTTGGATTTTTGTTGGCTGCCAATAAAAAATCAAGCTTTTGAAAATCGATTTTGTTTCCTTGGCAATTCCTTGGCAACTAATATTGGCCCGATGCTTGGCTACCGATCATTGGCAGTAGCGTGATCATCCCAAGTTTAAACCATTGGTGGTCCAATGATGGTTGCCATTAATGTTCCAATAATGGAACGGAGTTCGCCAAGCATGGCCCATTATTGAACCAATCGTTTACTTCCCATTGGGTAGTTTTGTTTTTCGGTTATAACTTTTCACTAAATTAAGCTATCGACATGTTTAAAGTCTTGTTTAAAAGCCAGAGAGCTTACCTATACTTCTGTAAAAGCGGCAATTTAATTTTTGAAAAAACTTTCAAAATGTAGCCAATTTTCTAAAAAGATGATTTTTGGACTTTTTTTTTCTTTGCTGCAAGTTGGACACCCTCACAAAATCCACTCAAAAAGCATAAAAATTAAATAAAACCTCTAGTAATAAAAAGTGTATGCAAAATTTGTATTTTATAAAATATAATGTATTTTACATATTATAAACTATAAATTTCGAATCAAATATTTTGCAATGTTTACAAACATAAAATAGGTTAAACTTGAAAACAAAAGAAATCTCCAGCATATAAATCATGACCAACTCGCAGCGAAAAGGTGTGTCCAACTCGCAGAATTAACAGGATTTTTTTAGACCACAAAAAATAGTTTTGGCAACAATATATGGAGCTAATTCTTTTTGCATCCTAAAGAGCACCCGAATAAAAATTAAGCTCCGATCTATGTAGCCTCTATGTCATCTGGCCTACTGTGCGACATAGGCCTGCGAGTTAAAACTAACATACAGTCTATGACGGAAATGTAACGCTCGGCTACATAGACTATACATGGGCTTAACAATGTAGGACCTACATAAAAGTTCTACATAGGCTCTATGTAGGTAAATATACATACGATCTACGTAGGATTGGAATGTAATATTTATATAGGCCAAATAATATAGAATCTACATAGAGTGTAAATGTCATCTCTACATATACAAACTGATGTCAAATCTATGTGTATGTAGTATCTATCTAGGCCAAATAATATACAGTCTATATAGAGTGTAATTTGTTCTCTACAAATAGAAGGGATTTATATTTAGTTTAGTTTGGTGTTAAAATTAATTGTAAATATTTTATTATTCTAGTTCTAATAAACAAACAGAAAAAAAAACTGCGCGTCAGAAAGCATTCTCTCGTGGAACGAAGTATAGAGTTAGAAGCAAAAAGTCAGTCACTAATTTAAATAGTAATATTTCTACTGACAATAACTATCAGTTATTTTTTCACTGAAAAAGTGAAAATCGCAGTTATTTTTAACTGATTCAGAAGCAAAATGTCAGT